ATATATATATATATATATATATATATATATATATACTTTAAAGTTTGCTCCCGTCCCTAGCAGTATCGCTGTGAATTAAAGATAATACATTAGAAAATGTTTTTGTGAGTTAATTCAATTAAGATATGTGTATCAAAGGTTTTCTTGAGCTTGAATTAAATCAGAACTCGTTATTGTAAGTTTTAATTTCCATTTCTAAATATGATTGATCATACTTAGCAATACTGCCAATATTCGATGTTATCAGCATGCACAACTGATTTCCAGTTATCAATTAACTACTTGAGGAAAAGTTAAAAATTATTGTAATACCAGTATACAATATACAATAATGTACGATGAAGTACAACCGGATGCTCTGTCTGACTAACGTACTGGATAAAAAGTAAGAATATCTTCAAACTGTAACCTTGATGTCCTTTGTTGTAATGCAACAAAGAGTAGTGAAGATAGGAGTTTCACAACTATAGAATGCCACGTGTACATGCCCTCTGAGATTTCAGGATGTACCTAATTAATTCAACTCATCCGCTACGATCGCTTAATAGAGGAAGCGAAACGAAATAGGTTTCTGTTATCTCTTATTCCTATTTCTACGTACACCCTCCAAAGCTGGTATTTTTCCTACTTGGTCATTGTTCAACAAAATCAATTAAGGAGCAGGTAAAAGTTGTGTTTGTTTATTTTCGGACATTCGCTCAAACCTGCTCAAGGACCATCTTTGATTTTGAGAGACTAGGAGTAAGGCAACTAGTCAATAGCACCCATCGCCAACTCTTGGGCTATTCTTGTGTGACGTAAAGTGGATATGAGTGTCGCTCTTAAAGACGCAACAACAACCTCAAAGTGCAGAGCACGATTATTCTTGTGGTAACGAGAAGCGAATGAAGGTCCCGAAGGTCCAGAGTACAGCACGCTAACCGCTTACGCCACGCTTGACATTAAAGTAAAATATATTTTCAACCGAAATCGTAGTAAAAATGCATCAGAACTGTGAGAATTGATGATGCATAACGTCACAGGATTGCATATATGATCATATAGTAATGAAAAGTCAAGTATAAATAAAACAACAGGGAAGAAGTAAGAAAAAAAAAACAATACTTTAGCATTCATGGTAAATGCTATTGCTAAAAAGATGTCTTAAATTTGCATACTAAACCTTATTGTTCTTTTATATAGCATTTTGGGATATTTAGCCTATGGTATTTTATTTTAGTGTCCTATAGTAGTAAGTATCAGTAATAGAAGAAACTCTTATGCATTCGTGTGCAAAAATCATATTTACTACTTTAAAAAACCGTTACATATTCAAAGCAAATACACATGAAAAAAATGAAAGAAAGTAATAATATTTGAAAAACAAATTAGATAATAAGAAGGACCAGAAGTATACGAGCAAACTTTTTAAATATAAATGTACCCGGCTACCTTTTTGAATAGGTTTATAATCTGTATGGCTTCTAAGTGAGTATAAATACAGTGAAACAAAACATCGGCATATTAGTAGTGTTGAGATGTTCGTAAAATGTCAGAGATTTATAAACTCGAGAGAGGAGAGATTATAAAGTGCTGGAAGTGTTGAATATCTGCACATGAAACTGTTGTAATACCTGATCACTTGCGACCTAGTCTGCTGGAAGCAACACACATACTATTAATAACTTGATCATACAACATGTAAAAATGGTTTAGGTCTGGATAACTGTTGCTGGAATGCTGTATGCGGTTTGTAATTGGAATTGTGAAAATCATACTTGCGACTGTATCCATTATAGTCACATGTGAATATGTGCTACTTGTAAGAACGGCATGTACAGCATGTTTTTCGTAGAAGTGAGATATGCAGCCCATATATGCTTTCTTATAATTTTGATAACTGATCGCAAAATATTAGAAGATGCTGACCGGAATTGGATCTGCAGATAACAAGTAAATTTCAAATGAGACTATTTTATGTCAGCTGTTTTGTTGTATGGGCTATTATATTCAACGCGAGGAATCCGTCTTTGAAGTATCATATAAATCCCCATGGGCACAAAGAAATTTTAAATGAACATATTCCAGGAGCTATAACAGAGTTATAATTATCATGCCCAATGTGTTGTTTCATCAAACTTCTGCCCTTTACCCCAAAGTAAGTACGAACTGTGCCCTAATTTCATGATAAGCACAAACAGAGTCTACATGATAATCTTATTAACTATATTTTGGTCCAACCGAAGAGCTTAATGCGAAAATTAGGTGAAATGAACATGCCACGAACCTTATAAATAACATCATCAACAACGACATTTTTAAGTTGGTACATAATATCAACTCTAAGACACTGTAAGAAAGGTATTTGTAACTAACAGCTTCTATGTGTTGTTTACGTTTACACTTACAAATATTTCGCTCAGAGAATAAGTATTGGGAGATCTCATGTTAATAAATTAGTTTTCAGTTGCCCATTTGAAGCTAATTTTGGGGTTATTAATCTATAGCCTTCCAGTCGACATTAAAGGGCCGAGTTCCAGGAATACCACTTTAGGTAAAATCTATCATACACATGTCGGAAACTAGCTAACATCATGCTTCTCAGAATAGTAGCAATTATCCAATTCAAGGGTAACGCTACATTGAATTAGTGCAGTCATAATTTGTGCTCTTTCTATGATATGAATACATGTTCGGATGTTTCTGGTAAGATAGCTTATAGCTTATATAAAGGCACAACACACACACAGAAAGACATATATATCCAATAATAGAGCTAATTATGGAAACATACAAGCCCTATACATACGGAAACGAAAAACAATATACCATGGTAACTAGATGGTGAACTTATTAAGCGTGTAAAACACTAAAACAAAAAATAGAAAAGAAAAACGAATAAGTTGTGTAATGCAATAGTATGTTGTAAGGAAACACTTTGTCTTATACTGAAGATAGAAATTGTTTTCATGCCGTCACAGTTTATCACTGCATGCTAAGAAATATTGTCCTGTATTACACTACAGAATTCTATCAAGCTATTTGATCGCATTTTGACCATCTTGGTTTTACACAAATCCACACAACTTTACTAATGTCTATATAAGGACTTTATTAAGTCGATCCGTGATAGTAAGTGTTCCATTGGCCACTTTAACTTCAAGATATCATTTCAACACAAATTTTGTTTATTTAGGCTCATTGCATCGATGGAATATGAATTCCCGCTCGATGATTAATTATGTTTCTGAGAGAAGAACATAATCGATCAGGGTTAACCTGTACTTGTCAGCAGTCAGGATGCCATCAGTTGTGTACAGATTACCGACACCATTGGCTTGGATGCAGCCTCTGACTTGTACGGATCCCTAACCATACTTCACTTTAGATGCTGTCCATTAATGTTGTTGTTGTTTGTTATTAAACACAAAGCTACACAAAAGGCGATCTGTGCTCTGCCCACTACGGG